CTCAATTATGTAAAACTTTGTCCCGTTTTCTGTCAAATGACTTTTTTTTTAACGGGCAGATATTTGGCTTTTTTCGGAGTTACCTGGTCTCTTGTTTTCTTTTATTGAAAGACAATCTTTGTTTTATTCTTATATGTTTAGTATGAACAATCAACTAGAAAGTAATGTATTGTACCTCTGTCAAGATATTTAAAATCATTGAAAGACAACATCAAAAGTTACTGACTTTATTCACATTAGTTTAGTAAGTAGTAACTAAGTTCATACTGTCTTGCCTTTATGCTAATCTGATTCTGTAGAATACAATATAATGCGATCAATGACCATATCTGCGAATCATTTACCAATTACATAGAACTTGGTTTCATAAACCACTAGGGATATTACTCAGCTGTCCAAATTGGAAGTAAGTTGTACGAGATTGAAACGAAGAACATGACACATATGTGGATCAGTTCAAGATACCACTTCATATCACTACAGCAAGATGAAACTATCAGAATAAATCCTATAAAAGTAAAATTAGCAAGTGTCTATGATAGTAGAAAAGTTTACTTACTCCTGTCATCCCTCGTGATGGAGCATAAGCCTCCCACTAGCACTCTCTATCCAAACCTATCCTGGGCAATACTTTACAGCTCTTTCCAGTTGCTATCCATCTTTTTCATGTCTGCTATTTCTCGGCACAGTGTGTTCTTCGCACTTTCTCTTTTCCTCTTCCCTTCACGATTCCGAGTTAGGGCTGGCCTCGTGATGCAGTTTGGCGATTTCCTCAATGTATGTTCTATCCATTTCCATCGGCTTTTCCTAATTTCCTCCTCAAATAGGAGCTGGTTTGTCCTCTCCCACAGTAGGCTGATGGTGATGGTATCCTGCCAACGGATATTGAGTATCTTGTATAGACAACTGTTTATAAATAATTGTACCTTCTTGATGATTGTTGTGGTAGTTCTTCACGTTTCAGCTCCGTACAGTAGGACTGACTATATTGGCGTTTGTATTGAAGATTGTACCTTTGATATTGGTTGACAGACAGTTGTTTTCAGTTCCATATATTATTCAATTGTAAGATTGCTGCCCTTGCTTTGACAGGATAAATTAGGGATTGACAATATGATTTAAAAGAAATGAATGAATTTGCGGAATAAAAAGTATAATATACATTTGAAGTACAAGATCTTAAGGAAGACAGAGTAAATGTATCGACGCCATTGTAGACTGTTCTGATCAGTGTATCTTTCAATTAGCTACAATAATTGCAATGACCTAACTGTCTAATATGCACCTACCAGCATGGTTTAGTTTAATAGTCAATGACTTGATAAGTTGATGTCACAGCCTGGCTTAACTATCCCTAGTTTTCTTCCAACCTAATTGTGGAATGGCCAAATACTCACTTCGAGATAGAAGGCAGTCGGACATGTACAATACATGTCTAAACTACCTCGGTTTATAAAAACTCATTACCTCACCGAACGTCTTGCGATCTTCATCTAGTACCCTGCTTGTAATCTCGGTATTGCTCATTTGGTGCTCCCTATATATATGAAAGTGGAGTACTTTACCGCAATGCTTACAACACTACGTTATTAGTGTAGTGTAAGTGATCCGATATTAGCTTGTAGTTTACATGATATCAGATTATTAGGAAACACTGGACATAGATTCTCTGATAGTTGGTATTTGTTAGCAAGATTGATTTTTACTCTATTTAAGGGACTGATTTTACATGTGAATGAAGCACTGCTAGTCAACCTGTTGAAGTGTGTACAAACCAATCAATAAAGCACGAAATTATATAATATGAAACAGAAACTCTGTTATTAACTAGCAGTAATTCATTTCATTATTTGATGCACATTATACAAGCATGAAGAATGTTGTATTATTGTATTGATGAATTCAATCATTACATAGTAATAATGAAATTAATAAACAAAATTCAATTCGTTTAATATAGTTTTGTTTATTATTCGATAAAAAATGGATTTCAATCTAATCTGCCTTGTGTTTCATCATTATTTTGTAAAACATTGTTCCTGTTTTCATTGATTTTGTTTCTGGATTCATGTAGCTCACTCTATCCCTTCACCATTAATCTGTCTGAGTTTATATATATATATATATCATACGTGTGTATGAACATGGTTAGATAGGTTTGCTCAAACGCGTTTCTTCAAGTCTACAAAACATGTAGTCAATCTTGTTTGTATGTTGTTATCACGGTTTTTTTTTCTTCTTCTTCGGCAATGTATTACAGAAAGCTAAAGCACGAATTAGAATTTTTAGAGAAAAAAAACAACTAATAAACCCACGTTACTAATATTATTAATAAAATTGATGAGAGTGAATTATCTCTCATTCTCCTCTCATATTTGCCTGTCCGTATGCCTTCTATATTCTTCTTCTTCTGTGATAGACATTCGGTGATGATAATTGAATTACTCTCATTATAAGTCATGGAGGATATGTTAGATGAATGATGTTTGTAAGCTTTTTCCCGTAAAAAGATTTGGATTCAATGTAACACATCAACTGTTACTATGTATCATAACATGTGGCATTTACTACTGGCTAATATGAACGAGTAGTAGTATTTCATGTTTAAACTATGATTATTCAAATATTGATTTATTGGTTTTCTGTAATTTATCGCTTGGATTAACAACATCGCTCATCAATATTCAGTAGTTCCATGGATTGATACTTGATGTTTGTTTGTTCGTAATTTTCTTACTATTTATTGCTACTCTAACATTCTTTGTCAGGGTGTGTAATGGTTGAGCACAGGTAACGTTCATGACCATACTAGTCAATGAAGATACTCAGTTTCACCAAATGTTTCTTCAGATGTAACTAGTACCGCATTGGTCACTCGGCGATTTGAACATACTTGAGCAATCCTTCTAAAGCATCTATGATCTACTTTCGTAAACCATGTTTAACAGCCCTAAAATACAACAGACCAGACTGTTGTACAATATAATCGTTCTTTGGTTTGTAGGCGGACATCTCACCTACACTACAGATCAACAACTGAATCTATTGATATGAGATCGATCTCTGAAAATCTACTCAAACTAAGTATTATCTTCAAATAAATGGAAGAAATTAGTTGACCTTATCTGTAATCTTATAGTTTTAGGTTCGTTTGAGTATCCTGACACTATACATTGATATTTTCTCTACTAAAGTTTACTCCGTTGACAACATCACAGTTTACAGTAAGTTAAGTTTTAAACATTTTAAATAGATCATAACACACCACTCTATGATCTGTACTAGAAATCATAATGAAGTTTTCAAACTCGTATCACCCAGTTCTGAGAGTTACATTTTCTACAATATTTAGCCCGTTACAATAAGAAGTCGATTTCAGTTTTCTCTTAACACTTTTCTGACAAGTTTATTTATTACTGTTGAACATTAACTGTTAATATAGGGGAATTAGATCTTTTCGGAATTTCAATTCAAAATTTCATGACCACTTTTCTTTTTATTGGTTGCCTCTTATAAAAACAAAAACAACTAGACCAATGCTGTTTATTTCTTTCTGAATTGTTCAGTTACATAATTCCATTGAAAAGTGGTTGTATTCTAGTCGTTTTTTGTGCTTGCACAGCTTTGACCTTTTTTTCATGTGACCAGTAGAGTAAAATCGTGTCTGTTGTGAGGCAGTTACTCACTGAAGATAATGATGGACGGTCTTGGAACATCGTGGATTGGTTGAAGTTAGACATGAACACCGTTGGATGCCGGTTCAGTGGTCTAGAGGTTAGGCGTTCTTGCGCGAGACCGAAGGTCCTGGATTCGACTTCTGCGTTTGGGATCGTGGATGCACACTGCTGAAGAGTCCCATACTAGTAGGAAACGTCCGTCCAGTACTTGCAGGTTTTCCAAGGTGGTCTAGCTTAAATCGACTCATTTATTCAACCATTAAATTACTACAATTACCTCAAACCCTCATTCTGACAACAAATGTTTTTTTTTCATGTCGAACTTTTCTTTGTCAAAACTAACTTCAAGCAGAATATTTATTCTTAATTATCATTCAATTGATTGCTGTTCTGAGTCGTGTGATGGAATGTGAAATTTCCGGTTTCGTCTCGCATACTGATCGTAGTCAACAATTAATTGGAGATTTTTGTTGGAATTTCTTGTGGAGTTAGGCTTTTCAATTTCATTGATGTTATTAATTCCCCATTTCTAGTTTTATTAATTCTCTCACTGTTGTTTGTGAGGTTAGGTGAGTCGTACTGATATAAATTTGTATCGTAACCCTTAAATTTATGTAAGTAATACATTTGTTAGGAAACGGGTACTAGGTAAGAATGGCAAATCAATTGATGAAGTAGTGAAAATCCATCAGTTGAGATGGCTGGGACACGTATTACGTATGCCCAACCCAACCACAGACTGCCCCGAAATGCGATGTTTCATCGTGTAGGAGTAGGTTGGAAGAAAGCTAGGGACGACCAGACCAAAATATGACACAAATCCATGAAGACACTGACAAGTGGACTGAGTAATGTTGGTGGGTGTAGATTACCTTGTTGGGATCCGCGAGTCAATAGCGATAGTAACCGATGGTTAGAGACCATGAATGACATGGCTCAAAATCGTTTGTAATGGCTCAGATGCATCCACTCTGTGTTCTTCGAAGTTCTAACCTTCTGAATTCTTCATGCCTTTTCCTTTTTTCTCTTTCCAAATGTACTTCACTGGATTATACTCTTTGAATAACATCTTCAAATCCTAATGTTTCTGATTACTGCTCACGCTCTTACTACCTCTACCACAATGGGATTTGAACCGATAACTGCATGTGTGTGACGATGTGGTATGGCAACTCGAATTGATGTACGTGCGACGAAGTTCTACGTTGTTACTGACTGACTGAAATGTATGCCTTTCAGTCTAATATTTCAGTAAATTCGTTGTAAAATTGAGACACTTATATATTTCTAATAGAAATATTCATGATATTTAATCTTTTACAGAAGATCGTAAACTATTCATTGGTATGTTAGGAAAGCATCAAACCGAGAAAGATATTCAAAATTTATTTTCACCTTATGGGCTCATTGAAGAATGTACAATTTTACGTGATCAAAATGGATTGAGTAAAGGTATGCTTTGTTCAAATTGTTGAATCATACAACAATTTTATGCTTTGATATAGATTTAAACAAAACAAGAATAATACTATTTACAGAATGAAGTGAATTCGTCTTTATTCATAGATTCTCATTAGTTGCATATAGCTTGGATTTACAAAAGATAAAATAATTACAAACAAATGTTCAATATGCTTTAGTTAGTTAAGTTGAGATGGATATCCGAAACATAACCAAGAATTATACTAATAGGAAGAGGCCACACAAAATGTAATTTAACGTGGTTAAGGTTGATGAGTACTTATGTTCAAAAATTAGTAATACAGAGTAGAGGATGTGAGGTTACTAATATGGGGGCGGGGCTTGTAAACGTAATAAAATCAATAAAGGGTTGCATAACTGACCGAGATTATTCGAACTAAAATCAAATTAATCTATGAGTGTAAAAAAGATTATGTGGAATACAACTATCATCTGATTACAATGGTGAAGTAAGACTTCTCTGTGTACGTAGATCAGGTCGGAAATGTTTGATAGGGATTGTGTTTGGTAAATGTAGTGAAATTAGTGTTATAGAAATATTGCTGGCGTCTGCTGGGATCACCGGGTAAGTAATAGTGAGGTTAGACGCAGGGTATTAGGGAAAGATGGTAAAACAGTTGATGAGGTTGTGAATCTTCATCGACTGAGATGGTTGGGCCACGTGTTACGTATGCCCGAACACCGATTACCACGACGTGAAATGCTAACCGTTGTTGGAGATGGTTGGAAGAAAGTTAGGGGCGGCCAAACCAAAACATGGCATCAGTCCACCCAGTCATTAACTTCTAGTCTGAGCCATGTTGGTAGATGAAGACTACTTGGTTGTGGTCTGTGTGATTATCGTAACCAATGGTTGGAGATTGTGGGTGACATGGCTCAGAATCGATCACAATGGCGTCGGTGTATACACTCTCTGTCTTCCCTTAAACTAAGAGATTAAAATCGCTTCATATCTTTCTTTCTACGAACTAATTCTTTCTTCATGTACTTTATCCTTATATTTAATCTTTTATATATTACCACCTTTGAATTAACACTACTTTTATGAATCCGGTGTTGATCTTGTTGTGTTAATGAGGTATGGCAACTTGGACCGATGCAAATATGTGCCTGGTCCTACGTTGTAGCTGACTGACTATGTGACGGATGGAATACTGTTCAGGTGCCCAAACTGAATGAAGTGGTTTTCTTGAAGAGCCATTGGTCAAGCCTTCGACCTAAAGGTGTAATCCACAAGTCATTGGATCAACATTAGGTTGTGCAGTCTGATGTTAGCCTTTTATGAAGAAAGGGTTGATACACCATATGTTCCTTCAAGACACTGGAGCTGATGTGCACTATTGGTTTTGAATTTTGGAGTTTTCCATCTCCTGTAGATGGATGGTTCGTACCCACGAACGAGGATGAAGCACTGTACATTCGATTTTCGTCCTCAATTTGATAAACGATATCCATGCATCGGGATGTGAGTGATTAGGATTTCTCTGACAGTGGCTGTTTGTGCGTGGTCATAAGAGAGCATTTCGTGAGTATATGTGAGAGAGAGTGGACTCTCCACACCCTCAGCTGCATTTGAGGGCATTTAACGCAACAATATGTCACAAATTAGCCTACGATCAGATATATCATATAACTTATCTTATACATAGATACTTATTAGAAAATTCTGACAACTAATCGACCAAGAACAAAATGGACTATGTTGCATATTCCTGTTTTTTTTTTCTCACTTCATCTTAACAGAGAAAAAAAAACAATCAAAGCTTTATATATATGCATTTTATATACTGGATAAACTAATGATTGTTTGATTGTTGTTATCACACATATGTTTTGTTAACGAGAGGGAAAAAAAGTGGCAATCATTCAATTTCACTTAGGTTATTAGACTAAATCTATATAAATACCTCTGTATTGTTTTTGTTTTTCTAACAGTTCTAATTACACACATGTATATAGCTGTTCGATTATATCACTTTTCAATTGTCTCATCATTCGGTTATTTGATAATTATTTTTTTTTCATTTATGTTACTGTCGTTATTTTGATTGTACAGGTTGTGCTTTTGTGAAATACTCCTCGAGTACAGAAGCGGCAAACGCTATCGATCATATGCATAATAGTCAAACAATGCAAGTAAGTTTTGTGTATGGATTTTGTTTTTTGTCATTCCATTCTATAATGAATCAGTCGGAGTGATATATTTTATGCATGATCATTAATATGACATGATGTAATTGAAATCGGATGCTCCGTCTTAGTGCATTGTATGATTATGAATCCTTTTTGTGTTTTATTGGAGATTTAACAGCGTGTTGTTTCTTGTTTGTTCCCATAATAATGGTCTGTTGTCAGATTTAAATCTCTTTGGAACGTAATGGTGGATATGGTATTATGATAGAATCAGTGTAGTGTTGTAGATTCCTTCCTCCTATGTGGGGTTTATCACCCAGTTGACTAAATTTTCAGAAAATCATTCCATTTAATTCAGTTTAAACAATTCAATATCGCTATAACTAGCTCTCTCACGCACACGCACACACAAACAGAGGCCCCTACTTGGTAGAGGACTTACAGAATACATAACTTGAGACGGTTTTTTTTATAAAATGTCAGTCAATCAATTATACACGCTTGGTCACAAGTCAAACTCCACCTGTAGTCCTTCTAGAGTTACTGCAGGTTCCAGGCCCGCACAAAGGAGGAGGGTTGGGCACGGGGTCGGCAACCCGTTGGCATTGTTTTGGTTAACCACGTTATATCAGTACAGTGATATGAAATTGAGAAGGCATGTCAAATAAATGACAGTTTTATTGGTAGTAGAAAATATTAGACATATATGATATGCATAGAAAGCGAAGGGTAAATTCGTGGAATAGCAATGTCCATTATAATTTTGATATTTAAGATATAGGAAAAAAACAGCCTGGTGATAGACGGCGATGAATGCAATATATTCATAAATCTTGAAATTAAACTACACATTTGCCTCATCTACCCTTGATTTTCTCAACTTAAGGGAAAATTTTATCTGGTATCATAGTTAATACCGTTGCCACTTTAATACAAACAAATGTGACGTATTAATCAAATACATAGTTTCGTTTCCTGTTCCATGTGTCAATCTTTATTGTAGAGTTAACAACAACAACAACTACTACTACTAGGAAACCATAATTGCAAAATATGGTTTATAGAATGTTCAACCCAATTTTGATGTCTCAAATTAAATATCCAGGATAAATGATTACGTATGTTTGTCTTTGTGTGAAACTGTAACTTTGGTTACATCATAAAACGTGTTGAAAAAAAATCAGTCTCAATGATTTGATTATTCATAAACGAATCGTTCACAGTATTACGGTCCAAATGAAGTTCAAAATAATTGACATCATGTGTATGTATATTGAAATGTACTATAGGTTACTGGTCATCAGATTTCTGACCTAGTCTGGCGTTGTGTATGTGTGTGTGTTTTTTTTTCATCAAATCATGTCATCGATAGTATCATATTTAGTATCATTCAGATTTGCTGACCTCAACAATGCATAACTGTTATATTGATTAGCACTCGGCGTATGGATTTAGCGTGTTTGTTTAAGGATACAATCAGTTTATCTAAAGTAATCGTACGGAACGTGCTCTCTCCGAAACGTGAATATCGAATATTTACGGAATTCTAGCCCATAAATTGACGGTTGTTCAACTCACCTTATTTTTTGTTTCTTTACAAAAAGAGATACCAATCGACAATAAGGAAGGCTGTCGATAAGATTATTAAGCTTTTTTTTTCCTATTAAAGATTGACTTAATTATCACTATTATCTCGATAATGTTTCAATATATACCTTACATTATCATGATCTTATTTTGTTCAATTCTTTTTTCGGCGGTTTTTTCAGGGTGCTTCTTCTCCGTTGGTTGTAAAATTTGCCGATACAGAGAAAGAACGTCAAGTTCGCAGACAGCATCAGCAGAGCACGACAAACGGTTCTTGTTCTCCGGCGTCAGGGCATTCTACCAGTACAGGGATGACTAATGGTCACTTAGATGGGTCTCATACATCAATGCAACAATATAATCAACAACAATCTCTTCGAACTCCAATTACGAATATCACGGAGGCGTCTAATATGGCGGTAGCGGCGGCCGCTGCAGCAGCCGCGGCTAATGCATTTCAACAATCACTTGTTGCGTCTAATGTTACACCAGGGTATTTACAATTCCCAGTAAGCTATAGATTCTTTATAAATATCATTGTTACTTTCACAGCTAGATCACAATTTTTTTTAAAAAAATATATCGGCTTTTAATGATGAGAAAGTTTTGATGGTAGATTATGAGCTTGAAAATAAAAGTTTTACCGTCTAACTTCCGGGTGAAATTCCACCCAATCATTAGTGAGGTTCGATTTGTGCTTATATGTGTTCTTGGAGTACTTGTGTCCGATCTTTACATTTTAGGTCTGAATGTAATACATAATTGTTTAATTGGGATTTAATACTAGCAGGAGTGAAGACCATCTTATCCTCCCACAACGACATCTGTGTTTGTTTGTGTGCTATGGAATGCATAGATTGAATTTATTTTTCAGGTGTTCATTGAGTGTATACTTGTCAAAAAAGACTGGTTTCTATCTAACTGTTAGGTCTGTATATCTTGAGTTCCAATCCCTGGTAGGATAAGTGGCGAAAAATTGACACTATTTAGGTATTCTTTAGTGGGACAATACAGCTGACTTCCTGGTCGAATAGTTATTTAGGCTTGTTAATTTTTAATTCATCTTGATTTTTGAAATAATTACTGGTGAACCTAATATAGTTCGCTCACTGACTGCAGGCATATGTCGTCATCTTCCTCACTTGTATCAGATTCTCCAGCTAAAACTGAAAAGTATTTTGAACCTACAAAATTGCTACATGAAAACCGACTATCAACAAACCATCACTGTACAATTTGTATGTGATCCATGCAATGAGTATAATGATTTTGTTTGAATTTCTTTAGAAACTAGCTAACTCAAATAATCAATGTAGTTCCATAGTTATCCATTTAAACACATAAACACTGATACAAAACGGCACTAGAATACATATGCACAACATAAACCTTTCGATCTGTGTGACGGATGGAGTACTGTTCAGGTGCCCAAACTGAATGAAGTGGTTTTCTTGAAGAGCCATTGGTCAAGCCTTCGACCTAAAGGTGTAATCCACAAGTCAGTGGATCAACATTAGGTTGTGCAGTCTGATGTTAGCCTTTTATGAAGAAAGGGTTGATACACCATATGTTCCTTCAAGACACTGGAGCTGATGTGCACTATTGGTTTTGAATTTTGGAGTTTTCCATCTCCTGTAGATGGATGGTCCGTACCCACGAACGAGGATGAAGCACTGTACATTCGATTTTCGTCCTCAATTTGATAAACGATATTCGTGCATCGGGATGTGAGTGATTAGGACTTCTCTGACAGTGACTGTACATGCGTAGCCATAAGAGAGCATTTCGAAAGGGAGAGCTATCCTCGACCGTACCAGTGCATTTGGGGCTGTCAGTGGCTGTATACGCGTGGTCACACGAGAGCATTTCGAGATATATATAGAGAGTGGCCTCTCCACACCCTCAGCTGCACAAGGGAATCTGAAAGCAATAAGGTAACTTCCATAATGAAGATGTTTTGTGTCCCATGTTAAAGTTCATTTGAGACATATTCTCATCGGTATATTGTTTTCGTTTATGTAGCCCGGTTTATTTCCTACCGCTTCATCAAATGCTAGCCCTGTTCCTAATGGTTTCCAAAGTTCAGTTACTCAATTTACTCAACAGCAACAACAACAACAGAGTCAAGTAGCTCAGCAAGGATCAGCTTCGGCTTATTTTAATCCTATGGCAGCTTTCATGGCGGCTGCAGCTGCAATGCAATATGCCAATCCACAATTATCAACTGGTATAACAGAAAATCCATCAAGTCGTTCAACATCTATTCCATTACAATTGAACACGATTGTTAGTCATCCTACAATCGGTGTTGCTCATCAGCATAATCCACTTACAGGAACTAATCATTCAGTACCGAATGCTTCAGCGTTAGCATCATTGGCTGCCGGTTGTCCAGCCACTACTTTACAAAATAATACACTTCCTCAATGTGAGTTAGTTGTGGTTTTTCTTTTCATTTCAAAAACGATATATGACACTTAATTTGTGTATCAACCTGATAAATGACATTTAAATCTGGATACTTTAGACAGCTATTAGCTGTCAGATTCACTATTAAAGTATTTCCAGTGTTTTAATTTTTATTTAAATCTTGGGAATAATCATGATATTTGAGTTATTTACCAATTTTATGTGTTTCACACTTGGCTTTATTCTTCAGCGTTAAATGAATAAATCCTATTCTTTTTTGTTTTCCTTCAAAAAGTAGCTTCATTGTTCCCTTTGACAGATGTCGCTCTATTATCTCCAGCCGCTTTAGCTGCTCTTACTCAAGTTGGCGCGGGTGCAGTTAATGGAGGTTTATTAACTGAAGCTGGAGTTTCCGTTAATAACGAATTTAACAATGCGTTTGGTACTGGTTTATTAGTTTCTGCTTCACCATCCACAATATCACCGCCGAGTTTCGCCAGCATAGGTAATGGTACTACCCAAGGTCAACAACCAGTTTCTATCTCTTCATCAACTGGTAGTGTTTTACCAAATGTTTCTCTTGGTGCAACTGCTAATATCTTGGTCTCATCTCCAGGAATGGTTACTCCGGTTGCTTCTACACCTCCTACCGTTAGTCCGGCTATTTTACCGTCACCAATAACAAATGAGCCTGTAGGTTTGTATGCAGCCGCTGTCGCTTTACAGAATTCAACTGCAGTAGGTCATACAAATGCGAACGGATTACAATTTCCTCAATTACATCCATCGTTTGCAGCAGCTGCCGCCGCCGCTGCCCAGTCAATGACACCATCTCCAGTGAACACTGCACTGAATTCGTATTTCACGGAAAATGCAGCTTTACAAGCGGCGGCGTTAGCTGCCGCTGCAGCCGGTTAGTTTCTATGCTCTTTTACTTACATTGGTCACATGCTTTATGAATACCATTAATACAGTTATTGTATAAATACGGTGGTTTGTATTATCATTATTATTATTGCTAAATTGGCTGGACATTGGTTCGAAGTCATTTCCTATAATTTAATTTGGGTTACTATAATTACAGCTTGGTTACAAAACATTTGGATGACCACATATTTGACTTTTGTGAAGTCGTATTTCTTCTTCTGCATGAATTGTGCTTATTTTTGTTTTGTTTTATTTAAAGCAATTAGTCCCTTTTATAAATTTCGATAGAACAATGAGAAGACGGAGTTGATCTGAAAAATGTGATGTATTTGCGCTATACATTTTGAACAATCTGGTCACATATATACTTGTCAAGGCATTTTTATTAATTTCCATATAAAAATGCCTTGACAAGTATATGTGTGATCAGATTGTTCGAAATGTATAGCGCAAATACATCACATTTTGTTTTATTGTTATGAATTGAAGAGTGTTAAGGATTTATGCGAATATTTGTCAAGATTAGAACGAATAGTTTGACAGTAATTGAGCGCCGAGTATAGAGAAACGTTGGAATTAGTTAAATTTCAATCGCTGAGAATATTTCAAATATAATTTTCACATATAGTGTTAAGGATTGATGAAGGATTTCTTAATCGTTAAAATCAATGAATAGAATGTCGATCGATAGACAATGAGCAACAAATACGCTATCTGACCAGCTGATTGCTGTTCACGAAACCATATGTTATGGACTAGTGCTTCTCAATTGATTAAAAATCAAAGACAAGGCCATTAGGCAGAAGAACAGAGTTTATTATGTAATGAGATTGCATATTTATATAACAAAACATAAACCTAAAATAAACATGATAAACTATTCATAGGCGATTGGAGGAAATCAGCTTGTAGTTCATTCACTTTTCAGTCAAGTCTAATTGTTATACTCAAACCTTAGATATGGTAACATGTATGTATTGTTTGTGTTATATGTGTTCACACATACAACATATTGAATTTCCTGGTTTCATTGATATATCCAGCTTAATGATTACGAAATTCGGTCTTTGACAACTATTAAATCAGTCATAGTTTCGAACTCTCTTCCATCTAAATATAGTTTAGGCAGCTGAATATGGTATTACCATTATCTATCACACTAAACCAGTCCAACTCAGAAACTTGACCATATTACACGTTTACATTGGTCAATTGATTGCATCGTTACTATTTCGATTTAAGTTGCACTTATGTACTTTCTGTACAACAATACATTGGATTGAACAATAGAAAAGGTGAAGATTTGTTGTTGTATCGTTTTTTTTTATAAGAGAAGAAAATAAAATTGTTGAATATACCAGTTGTTAGGTTTATGTGTAACTTTTCTCGACATAGAGGCACCAAACAGATATGCGCCACATAAATCATACGATTTATGTGAGGGGCTGGGATACTGCCCGGGTGCCCAAACCAAAGCAGGATTTGCCAATTTACAATTATTGCCACTCATTTATTTTCTCCTCTACATAATTTAAGTGTTTCATTGGAAGCTGTTGTTACATTTGAACAATCACTAAGAAACACATGGAGTTCAATGTCCAGTTAACGACAATGTTTTGTTTACGTATTTTAAACTTAATCATTTAGTCTTACAGATTCATATCATTTTAACTTTTGTATATGTAAAGATTTATGGTTTAAAGGTGTGTGTGTGTGCGAGCTTAAGAACCTGCCTCGTTTTTGTTACTTACTAAGTGTTACGTGAACATGAAAATGTAGTAGTTGATTACTTTTTGATTTACTGATTTATGTTTTATTGTTTTTGCTTTGTTACAGCGTCTGGTCAGTCGTTTACTAATGATCCTATCGTTCATCAACTCTATGCTGGTCTTCAAGCCTACGGGTTAGGTTAGTTTAGTTTATAACAAATTTTCTACTATAATTAAATGTGGATATCATTCGAGTTTGTTAAGCATATTCAATTGTTTTAACTCATGTTTTTCTAATGTTTTAATGCTGATTGAGTTCTATCAGTCGATTTGCATCATTTTCCTGAAAATTATTGATGAGTATCAACTAGCGGGAATCTTAAGTTGGACAGTGTTTCCTTGATAAATACATCTAATGATCTGATATCAAAACGTGTTCACTTTCTTTTAAAAGTCATTTAGTTTAGTGGCCACGTTGTAGCTTGATCAATAGAATTTTATGGGTACTAAAAATGACTTGACAAACATTATATTGATTACCAACCAGTGATCTGTGAAGTCAAGTCAATTGGATTCGAATCTATTAGGGTGAATGCTAACTAGGACGAAATCTATGTTTCAGGGTCTCCTGTTTATTTTCTCCAACCACTCTAAATAGATAAAATATTCATATTAGATCGATCTTTTGTTTCTATTCTGTAAAAAGAATTGAATCATCATTCAGAAAGGGCTCTCTGTCTCGTGAATATACTTTGATCAATGCGTTAACTTAATACACGGCGATAGATCTCAGTTTCTAGTGTAGACATCAAATATGAGTTTACTACCAGTTAATAAGTCACACATACACACTACCAGGATTCCACTGATCCAGCCATTGTTCCTAAAATTCTTATAAAAATCATATGATTGCTAGTGAAAAGATTTGTGGCGATACTTGAATTTGTAGCTTACATCACGAACTGAATTTAGCTATCCAGTCGTCCCAAGTTATATAACTCTGACGGGTTACATAATTCACTCTATATGTGTGTAACTATTACACTAAATTTGATCAGTGCTTTCAGTTCTTTTCTTTTTTTCGTCCGAAATTCCAACCTTTCAGCGTATCCTACTGGAGGTGCCGCATATACCACTTTTCCTAATCTACATCATCAAGCTTTATCAATGCCTGTTCAACAGAAAGAGGGTACCAGGGAACTGATATTAACAGGTAAATTTATAGGTATTATTATTATCACTGCTCAATTGATTGAATTCACATAAAGTTGATGAGATCAATAGTTTGAGAGGAGGAGATCTTAATTGTAGGACCTCGTTCACCTTAATACTATATAATTCGCTCAGCTCCTAAACATTCTGGACAAAATTATGATTACATTTACTTGTAATCATGTCAAAGACTTATGTTCTTGAGATCAAAGTCATTGATTATTGAGCTGAGTGTTATAGGCAAGTCTATACTACTAGATTGTAGTCTTCACGATGATTATAAACAGTGTTTATAGACGTTGAGTAGTATGCCTCAGAACCAGTTTTAATGGCGCAGATGAATTCACTTTCTGTCTTTACTTAGATCTTTATCTTTGAAATTACCTCATAATTATTCTGTTTATTTATTCGTCACTGGAATAGTTTATTTTGTAGATGATGTTGGCTTTTCCTTCTTTCATCGTTTGGTTTGCATAGAATTGACTGATGAGGTTTTGTTGATTTGTGTGCTACACCTACCCCAAACGGATTCATCACCCTCGTTATTTCTGATACCCTTAACATATGGTTGGATGATTCGTTTGTTGGTTTCTGTACTTGATTTCGTTTTTACTGATGAATTGGGTTGATATTGTTCGATGAAGTTGCGTGGATAGTCATTCTTTTCAAGGATAGTCCCTGGATATATTTTGTCACTTTTCCTCGCTGCAAGTGTGACGCAGTGTTTTCTCATCCTCCATTATGGAATCACATCAAATATATGAAAATATCTTGAAAACATGATTATTATTTGAGTAAGAGTGCTCGCTGAATTGTTACGTAACCACGGTGTTTTATGCTTATTCTCTAGGGAATTCTTTATGCTATGAAGTTATTTCTTGTTGTTTGTTGTCTTATTTTTGTTTTTCGTACAGGTCCCGAAGGATGTAATCTATTCATTTATCATTTACCACAAGAATTCGGTGATAATGAATTAGCTCAAATGTTTATGCCGTTTGGTACAGTGATCAGCGCTAAAGTTTATGTTGATCGAGCTACTAATCAAAGCAAGTGTTTCGGTAAGCTCTTAGCCATCTATCACTAACGAGTACTCATTTTTCTGGTCAATCTGTTTATCTGCTAGAGATTTTATTGAAAAATAACTCTGACTGTTGAAGTCGTATGTTTTTTCGTAAAAGAATACAGTCATATATGGACATGAGATGTTAACAGGATACATATCGTTACATAATTGTGTAATAGTCTGTTTGACCATATGGTTCGTCTATCTTAATGCTTGGCTTTGAGACAAATTTTATGTTCGGTTGCACCTACCGAAGTAGGATGAGACTCCATTCTAAGACAATTTTTTAGGTATTTGAAAACGAAACTAAGACAGTAATGGTCTTTGAGACCTGGGAGTATGATAGCGTATGATAGTGTGTTAGAGGACCTAAAGGAAGAAGTGTCCATATGAACGTAGTTCGATTTAGTCATCGTAATCTGCAAACTCGATCATCGCGTCAGAGGTACAGCAGCTACAGTCGAGAATTGGTCACTTTGTTATTGGAAGATTTGAGTGTTAACCGATCAGTAAGTCAAAATTTAGAACCTGGTATGTATGTACATCGGTTCCAGTTGCTATATCCCATTAACATAAAGAGATGATGTTTTCAAGTCAAATCACAGAATAGTTGAAGTAGTAACAGTATCAGTGATGACAGAAAAGATTGGTTTCAAAGATACTATTGGAGAAGAAAATATAAATTAATGAAATAAAAAGGTGGGGAATTCAGATGCTTATAATTTGGAGGACGACAAAGAATACATACACCTACACCATTGAAGACGACTTTGAACGATGTTTTTCAAAGTCTCTAACCATTGTTTATGATAATCATTCGGAGTTCAACCAAGTACTCTGCACCTATCAATATGGGTAAGTCCGAGTGTCACTGGCTTGATGAACTGATGCCGTGTTTTGGCTTGACTTCCTCTGAATTTCTTTCAACCTACTCATTTATCAAACTGGATCTTCTGTCGAGGTAGCTGGTGGTTGGGCATCCATGACACATCTCTAAACCATCACACTTGGTGAAGACTCACTACTTCATCAATCAATTTGCCATCTTTAGTTAATACTCTATTCCTAAACTAAACATTGTTTAGTCGGTAGTCACAAAATACACCAGGAATTCTTCGAAAATATCTGCGATCGAATACTAATAACTTGCGCATAATCTTTGATTCTTATTGGCCATGTTTCACACATAAATTAGAACGGAGCGAACTGATGCTCAGTAATCTCTTTGGTTGGAAGACGGATATATCACTTTTCCCACAAGTGACACAATTCGGCCAAAATCAATCGAGCCTTATGAATCCTTGCCAAGATTTCGTCAGTCACCAGACCGTTAGGACTGATGAGACTCCCGAAATAAGTAAAGCAGGAGATGACTCCAACTATTTCAATTCCCATTGTTAGTTCAGGCGACAGCGCAAACCAATCCTTAGGCATCATTTTGCATTTGTATGTAGAGAACCATATCTCAAATGTGCTTGCATTATTGATTTAGTTGATTAGATCATTTAACCAGTAAATCACTGTTTCAATGTGTTATAACTTGTGGATCTGCGTGCCTTGTTATTGTATAACGCAACGACGCCAACCAGAGAGCAGCGAATTATCGATCGAATCAGTGATGCATAAAACATGTGCGAGCGACCCAGAGTCCTGATTGGTCCTGCTTCCCTGTCTAGCCCAGCCAGTTGAGTTCAGAACAGCAATCTCAGCCTCTGCAATATGAACCATGTATTTCAAACATACTGAGTTTATATACCAGTCAAACAGACCACAACGTACCATAAAATATGAAAATAACATTTGCACAAAATATGACCAAATGTGGCTGTGAATGAGGGAGGTAGTGATTAACGGACAGGGAATAATTCAAGAATGGTAAATCGTATAATAATAGTTCAGAGGTCAAAATAAAGTTCATAGTAAGAGGGGCATGAATATGAATAGTTTAGTTACATAACAATTACACGATAAAAATATACTCACATAGTAATGGCCCATAAATCGATCCCAAAAATTACCATTCATTATTCTTATCGGAATATAACACAATGTACTTGCCAATCTTTGATCATATTTTTGCAAATTTTGGTTGGTTATCTCAAAGAATCTAGGGTGGGGAGCCTTAAGGTAAATTTCAGTTTTTTAATTGAAGATTTTATTTGAGTAGGTCAGATTCACAATGGTTTACCGATCAAACAACGGGTTTACTGTGCAGTAATTCGTTCCATCCTACTTCATGGCAGTGAAACATGGCCGGTAAAAGTAGGGGATATTCGATCATAGGTGTCTCGTATATCCCGGGACCAATGAGTAAGTAATGCAGTTGTCAGGAAACGGGTACTAGGTAAGGATGAAGAAGTGAAACTTCACCAGTTGAGATGGCTAGGACACGTGTTAGGTATGCCCAATCACCGACTGCCACGACGTGCGGTGTTTTGTGGTGTAGGAGTAGGTTGGAAGAAAGCTAGGGACGGCCAGACCAAAACGTGGTGCAAATCCATGAAGTCATTGACAAGTGGACTGAGTCATGTTGGTAGGTGTAGACTACTTGGTTGAACTCCGAATGATTATCATAAACAATGGTTAGAGACTTTGAAAAACATCGTTCAAAGTCGTCTTCAATGGTGTAGGTGTATGTATTCTTTGTCGTCCTCCAAATTATAAGCATCTGAATTCCCCACCTTTTTATTTCATTAATTTATATTTTCTTCTCCAATAGTATCTTTGAAACCAATCTTTTCTGTCATCACTGATACTGTTACTACTTCAACTATTCTGTGATTTGGCAACCGATGGTTAGAGACCCTGAATGATATGGCTCAAAATCGTTTGCAATGACGCAGCTGCATCCACTCTTTGTGTTCTCCCGAATTCGAATCTTCTGAATTCTTCATATCCTTTCCCTTTTTCTCTTTCCAAATTTATTTCCCTGGATTATACTTCTTGGTTAACATCTTCAAACCTTAATGTTTCTGATTACTGCTTATACTCTTACTACCTTTACCAGTATGAGATTTGAATTGAAAACTGCATCTCTGTGCTAATGTGGTATGGCAATTCGAAGTGATGTTCGTATGTACGAAGTTCTACGTTGTTGTTGACTGACTGAAATTCACAATGTATACATTCATCTTGGAATACACTATGTAGATGCAATGATTTCATATAAGTTTGCTTTATATCATAATTTGAGTAATTTTCAATTCAATTTTTTTTTATACTTTAAATTTAGGTTTTGTCAGTTTTGATAATCATACAAGTGCTCAAAATGCAATTCAAGCAATGAATGGTTTTCAAATTGGTATGAAACGATTGAAAGTACAGTTGAAGCGTCCTAAAGGTTAGTAGTTAATTAAAGTTTTGTGATTCCATTTGATTGAAAGGAAATTTTTAGAGATAATACATTTCTTATTAATGAATTTCTTTTTATGTTCATGTAATTGATTTATCTCTATTTGATAAACAAAGTCTCATCAATAGAAGACTGTTAATTTTTATCTTATTCTGACTTACAAAGCATTTTATATTACTTACGTCTACTCATATGATTTTTCAGTAATAAATTTCATCATTGTAACTTTTTTTTTGTTGAGAAATAATGTTGACATTTATTCCAAAATCCCATTGTTCTTCATTTATACTAACATGTATACATTGTTAGGCGGTAACACTTCATCAACATCATCATCGTCAAATACAAAATCTTCTCGTGATACTACTACTACTAATACGCATACTGGACAAAGACAAGACGGTGATTTATCTCTTCCTTCACAGGATTCTATATACTCTGAGGTAAATGTTACCACAAACATAGACGCACACACACACATTCGCTCTGAGCTGACCATTAATTGATGTTGATCTAATCTTGTTATCGGCTGAAACTTGATTGTACATATGTGTGTGTGCGTGCGTGCGTGCGTGTGCAACTATTAATTGTATTCTTGTATGTCGATATATGTGTTGTCGTCAACTTGATAAGAATATCGTGTCAGTGTATATATTTGTTTATTTATCTATCACTGTCTACTACATATTTATATGTCTATCTGTCAATCTGTCTTTCCATCTAATTTATTATATTTGTCATTGTCAAGTTAATTAATTAATTAATTCTCATTCCTAGTTGTATGGATACATCATCATGTTTATTTGCTAATTTGTTACTATGTTTATTGATATTTAATGAACTTGCATAACAACAAAGTGGCTATAATTGATCTCAAATACATTTTTTTCTATTGTGTACAAGTGTCTATTAAGTGTTTATTTTCAATATGACAAATTTGATAGGGAATCAATAAATGAAGAAGTAGGATGGATGGATAGATAGATAGATAGATGGGTACAGTAAACAAATCTTAATATCAGAAAAGGTTTTTGTAGATATTATAATAGTTGAAATTATGAGTTCATTGAAGCTCTAGACCCACTGTAATGGAAAACTTGGAAGCATTGGACGGCTGTTTCGTCTTATTGTGCGCATCCACAAGAATCAAACCTCAACGGATATGTAAATTCTAATCGGGAAGTTCTTTGGATTTTGTTTTTGTTTATCCTTCTTATATTTGATGGAGTCGGAGCACTTAGTTAATAGATGTTATTAGTCATAATCTAAAATGTAATTTTTAGCTTGATAAAAAGTCAAATGTACATAAGCTTTAGTACTTAGGCATCAAAATTATATCAAATATAACTGTAATTATTGTTATATTTATTGTGCATTTTTATGGAGTTTTGTCCTCTGAGCTGGATGGTTTAGTTGTGGAGGTTCCAGCGTTCTTCTGAATGACATTATCAGCAGCATAAACTTTAGGTAGAAGTGAAGTGTTGGAATTTCTGCATATATGGTTCACAGTTTGTCCTGTACAACTCGATGTTAATTGGTTCTTGTTGACCGTAAACATGTCATTGTTTACTTCTTTGTTTTGATTGTGTCTCCCATTGAACACTTCACTTCTACCTGAAGTTTGTGCTGATGATGTCGTTCAGAAGAACGATGAAAGCTCCACGACTAAAACATCCAGCTCAGAGAATAAAACTCCATAAAAATCATCTACCTGAACTACAAATCTTCTCCACCATCTCAATTGTGCATTTTTATCACAAGTGGATTACTTCATTGATGTCATGATAATTTAATCCCGTTGGATCATGTAGTCAATGTGCAGTGTTAGCCTAATATCAAAATCTCTTAATTACTCTTAATAAATTAGTTATATCCAACAAATCAATTCAAACACCAGACGTTTGCCCGTTGTTTTCTCAGTTTTATAATGTAAATTTCACTACTGGACGTTTGGAGGTCTCCTTTTTTATGATCTTATTATTACATTTGTAAATACTAAATGAATAAATTAGTGTTCCATTTTTTCTTCATTTTCCCTCCTTCTTATCAATATCATTGAAGGTTCTTGTGCTCTAGACGGTCTTGTGTATAAAAGGTTGAGTTTCAGAAAATTAACCAAATGATTAGCACAATTTCACATTATATCTTATTTGTTGTAATCACTGGAACCGATGAAAGTGTTCCCATTTTAAGTTTATTGCAATCTTTTCCCAAAAAAATATATGAGTTATCGTTGTTTGTCGGACAGTGTCAGTGTTTAGTACTTTCTTTTTGAAATATTTTAGCAAATGTAAAAAGTGATTAAATGAAAACATTCATGTCAAGTTGGTAATGCGTAGTGTATGCATGTGTGTGTGTGTGTGTATTTAGTTGTGTACATCACCAGCTTATAATTTGAGCGTCCAATGCAATAGATACACGGAAATATTCTATTTATACCATGTTCATCTGTGGAGTGTCGGTTAAACAATTAAGTTCCAATTGTAATGCACGCTGAAAACCTCTCGGTACACAAACAATCTAAATCCTAATTACATTCTTATTATTACGTAATATGTCCTAGTAACAATCATTAATCGTGTTACATATGTGTCATTTCAGTTAGAGATGAAGATTTTGTTTTTTGTTTTGTTTCTTTCTTTCTTTTATTATTGTTGTTAGTCCATTTTTCATTTGATTACTGGTTCATGAAAAAAACAAACAATCTTGGGATCTTCCGTTTGTTGTGTGCTCGTTTTATGTGAACTTTTCTTATCTGACTTGATTTGGCCCTTAAATATCTTCCTTATGTAATACATATCTATCTATTTATCTGTTCTCTCGACTGAATACCAATAATGTTGATGTATTATAATGGGGCTTATTATGATAAGTTCCTAAATTTTCTCCCCTCTGAACTGCTTTGAAAGATTGACACCATACTATAGGTGTAATTGGTGGTAAGGAGAATTTGAATTGATATATGACTCAGAATCAAACACGGTGGCTTAATTCTTTCTATTTTAATGTCCGAATAACGCTAGTGGGAGTTGTATTATGTAATGTATATAGATGCGTGGTTTATGGTTTGTCCGTAAAATCACTATCATCACCTACTAAGTGTTTCTTTATCATATTTATATAGATGGGATTTCATGCTGATGAGTAACCATTAAGAAAACTGTTGATCCCCTATCGGTTTATAACATTTTACCACTATCAGACGAAATTGTTCAATGATTACCATTTGTTGAAAGGTTGACGAAACATTTTCCCGTTCAAATTTCTGATAACAGTTTATAAAATGAAGTTAATGAGATTATCCAGAAGCTAATTTTCGTCATGCTTTAATATCAACTGAGAGAGGTCGGAAATTATTAAAAAAATAAGAGATCAGTAGATGACAGCTAACTGTATGGAGCTGTTCAACTGTTGTACCTTATCAACGAGAATGTTTTCTTCTTATTATTAATCTATAATCCTATACTTCCATACTGAAATAAAACAGCTGTCCAGTACTTCCTAAGTCATATTATAACCTCGATCAAATTGTTGATGAAGATGTGAATGACATAACTCATAATCGATCACAGTGTCACAAATTTTGTTACCCTATTTATCCTTTCTCTAGTAGTAGTTATATTAAAAGTCTTACTACCACGTTCCCTTTTTGCTTCTCTATATTCTTTAGTGTTTCTCAGTGTTACTTTGAGCGAACTTATCTAAATTTGTTTTCATATTCATTTTATCAGTTTCATCTTATTCAAGCTAATTTCGTTAGGTTGCTTTTTATACCATACACCTCCCCAAGTTGATTATAATAACTAGTTGACTAGGAAAAAAATTTCATTCGTTTTTGTAAATTATTACCATAGAAATGTAAATAGAAGTAAAAATAAATGTAACGTCATATTTATTGATTTTTTATTAAAAAAAAAAGAAATACACTAACAACATAAAAGTTTGGACACACCCCTTTTTCTGTTCATACAGATTAGGCTTCATTTAGTGAAATCATGCTTAGTTCCAGTTTACGTAAAATAAGTTCGGTTTGAAGACTAATCTGTTCGCCACGTGAACAACTGATGAATATCACATAGTGTTTAACGAAAATGTAACATCCACTTTTAGCTTACAATCTATATATATATATAAACAATTAATGCAGATACTAATAGACATGTTTGATCACGTTTTTATTCACTGGTTACTAAGACCAATACTGCTTAAATGTTGCATGTGTTTACTCCCTGTCTAAACGTTTTTCTTTATTTGTTTGCATGTCTTTACATGTCATTAAATGATCAATTTGATAATGACGCTCTGCGTCATTTCTATTGGTGATGGTGATAATAATTTTGTTACTGCTGTGAACAATGAATAAAATTATTATGTTTCTATCAAATATAAAGCTCACACAATTGTTTGTTATATGATAAGTGTCATCTTTTACAATCATACTACAACAAATATATTTTGTTGCCTTTTTTTATCATGTTCATGCTATATCTTTGTTTTCGGTGTTCTTTGTTTTTCTTGTAGATAGTCGTAAGCCCTACTGAAACAGTCTCAGTCGCTCCGGTACCTGCTTTATAAGGTGTATGTAATGGATTGTTCCTCCCTCCTTTCGCTCTCTTCTTCTATTCCTGAAAAATCTCAACAACACAGGTTAACTACATTTTTGTTGTTATACTCTCTTCTAATTGATACTATTCATCTGCCGGCTTCCATCTTGAATCGTATGATGGTAACTACGTGTGTCAATCTATGTTATGGCTCTATTCTTTTCATATGCTCAAATTTCTGCTCCTCCTAAATTATTTTTGCTAACTTCTGGAGTGCACACATTTGTCTCTCTCTGCCTATCCCCCTATTCTTTAGCATTATTCTTCACCATTAAATCTATTGTATGGTCTATTTTTATTATTACTAGGCGGTCAGTTTAAAAAATGTGTTGATCTAGATTCCTCTTTATTTTTAGTTTCCTGAAAGAGAATCAAATTGAATTTTCTTCTCCGTTTTTCCTTGCTTTGATGTTGTACTCTGTCTCCCTCTCTGTATGTGTGTGTCGGGTGTCTCTCCCCACTCGGTTCGATTAATCTCTGCAATACAATAAATACAAATAAACAGAAACAAACACAGAATTTTAATAGAAAAAAACCCTGATACATTCAATATGGCATTGTAGCGAAATAAGAGCCACTCTCCATTCACAGTATACATTTCAATGGGTCTTGTTCATTGACCATGAACTATTTTCACTGATTCATTTTAATAATACACAGAAACATTAATTGAAAGTATGCGTAACGAAAAAAGGGGGAGAAAATTGCATTATTATTATTATCCCATCATTAAGATGACTGTTAATCTATTGTTTTATTGTATGCAGCCTCAGTGTTGTTCCTATGGTTGTTGTCGTCATATGAGGAGGTACTTTTTCTTCTTTCTTGTGTTTCTCCATCTTCCACGTTTTTCTTTCTTTTCGTCTTTGAATATATTTTTTTATAATGATTGGTGGTTTGTTTGGCTCTCATTCTTTCTGTCGGGAAATGATAATTGTATTCTGCTCATTCCTTCGATTTTCACTGAGACAAAATAGGGAGAGGGAGAGGGAGACACACACACACACAGGTATATGCATATTTTTACATGATAAATGAATTGTCCATAAATAACAGATTTTGCTTAATTATCTTTGTTGTAAATGACCTATTGTCGTCATCGCTACTGTTGTAGAGTTGTTGTGTTACTTTTGTGCATTACTGAGTATTTCTTTTTGTTTGTTTGTTGATAAAACACTTTTTTTCCATATGGCATATCGTTTCATTATGATTGAATATTTTTTTCAAGAGAAAAAAACAATTTAAACATTCCGCTTACTGTGGTTATTTGTTTCTCTCGACGATTTGGTTCTCTCTCTCTCTTTCTCTCTCTTCAACGATCGATGTTGCATTCGTCACGAGTTCCATTTGCATTTTTAACATTTTCCATATATTGTCACTAATAATGTTGTGTATGAGCTCTGACATGTTCATTGAATATAATCACAATAGCAATTCTATTTCATATAGTACATTTATAATTTATATTATCCATTTTGGTTACTTATCCATCCATTCGTCATTATTATTATTATTATCTACTTAAATGATCTATTTTAATGATGAATAAATAGCAAGTTGATTATTATTATTAGTATTATTGCAAAAAGAAAAAGAAGAAAAAACAGAGAACACAACAAATGAAGAAACTAGATTGTTTTCGACGATTTTTCTCCTTTTCTTTTTTTTTGATGACCAGTTATTTACCTCCATTATATTATATACATTATTCTTTCAATATATTTTTTAAAAACATAATTTTCATCCATTTGTCTTTGCTACATACATTCCTTTAGTTCAATTATAGAAATGGAACACATTTTGTGAGATGATTTTTTTTTTGTTCATACTCATGTGAAACGCTTTTTACACATCGACTACGATTGTTACAATAACGGTAGAGGAGAATATAAAAGAAGGTTATTTACAAGCTGAAGTCCTACTGTTGTTGTTGATGGTGATGATGATGATGATGATGACGGTGTTTCTTATTGTTGGTAAAAACCATAGACATATTTCTCTTATTTTTCTATACCATTATATACTACTGATAAGCAAATTGTTGTTGTTTTCCTTTGCACACACACACACTCTCTCCATGTTTTACTATCCACATACCTTTATCCTTTCATTCACATGGTTATCTGATCCACACACCTTAAAATACAAAGAGAAAAACTTAGAGAAAATCTTAATTTCACTCCCAAACAAAGTAGACGGGACATTATTATATACAGCGCAATACAACATAACAGACAGGTGGAAGCTTCAGAGGAACTAAGCAAAACGAATGCATTTAAATTTATTTTTGTGCTGTAATTTACTGGGTTTTTTTGTTGTTACCGATGATTATGTTGATGAGATCGCATGATTTACATCTATACCTCTTTACTTCTCTTCTGATGAATATAAATGCGATTGTGCTGTTTTCCTGTATGCGTATAACTGAGAATGTGGTTGAGATTTTAAAGTGTGTGTGTGTGTGGAATGATCGGATATACGTTGAACAGTGATATACTGGTCAATAATGATATTAGATTTACCGGTTTCTTTTTCATAGATATATCTTCATAATCCGTCTATTCAACCCGCAAATCGATAAATAAATAATTAAATGAGTGTGGATACACTATGATATATGCAGAAATAAGATTGTTCTTTACACATACACACAGTGGTACTTCGTTCTCAGTTTTGGAGAAAATGCATACCACTATTGTCTCCGTTTCTTGTTTCCCCTCTTAGGCGTTTTTTTTTATTTATTACATATTAGTCAGTTTTTCTCTCCCTATCCGATTCTATCATTTTTACTACCATGATGAATATATAGTGTATAATGTTATATGCCTCTCATTTTTACAATTTCTATGATTCTTATGTTGAACACACTTTAAAATAAATACACATGAATACAATTTTCCAATACATCACTTACAAGCAAACTGTAAGTGATAATGTTAATTATAATACTAACACTACTATGACTATTAATGATGATGATAATAATACTAATAATTCTTTACAATAAACATGTTCTTTTTCTTCTCTCCGATTGGCATTGTCGAAGTGTATAACTACAAATAATTGTATAGATGGAATAATGGAGTAATGTTAAGAATGTTAATTTACTGATTAAAACAGTTGATTTTCAATGAAAGACGTTCTGGATCTAAACTTTCTTGCTTTGTCTACGTTGATAAGATAATAGAATTAGGTCCCAAATTCAAGGAGTGTTTTGGCTTAAATCTAAGGACATAAGGTTAGTACTTTGTAATTGACTTACGGTAATGTAAATGATTTAGTGACTATGGGTGATATGGCTCAGAATCGATCACAATGGAGTAGATGTATAAAACTCTTTCTCTTCCCTGAAACTAAGAGATTAAAATCGCTTCATATCCATCATTCTACGCACTAAATCTTTCTGCCTGTACTATATCATTATATGCAATCTTTGTTTTATATATTACCACCATTGAAGTCACTACTTTTGTGAATCCGGTGTTCATCTTGATGTGATAATGAGGTATGGCAACTTGGACCGATGCATATTTGTGCCTGGTCCTACGTTGTAGCTGACTGACTGAATGTAAATGATGTAACTTTGATGCTAAAATGAGGTTATAACAAGTAAATACCGGTAGGCCCCCAATTGCCCTTGTACGGCCAAGAGTGGGGAGAGTCAACTCTCCCTCTCGAAATGCTCTCACATGGCCACGCGTATATAGTCTCTGCCAGCGAAGTCCTACTCACTGCCTTCTCGTGACACTGCTGTTGTTTACGAAATTGAGAGGACGAAAAGTGGATGTCCGGCGCTTTAACCTGGTTGGTGGGCATGGAGAGTCCGCCTAGGGGAGTTGGAAAACCCTGATTCCAAACCAATGCTCCACATGGGCTCCAGTATAGTGAGGGGACAAATGGCGTAGGAACCAATCGTTGGTCAACAGCTTCCATGGAACTGGATCTCCTTACGTTGTTCCACTGCCTTGTGGATCAGACCTTCAGGTCGAAGGCTTCGGGTGTGGCCCCCTAAGAAAACCACCTGTTTCGGTTTGGTCACCCGGGCAGTATCCCAGCCCTCACACATATCAAATGAGATTTGTGTGGCGCATATGTATTTGGTGCCTCTTAGTACCAATATCTAAGTGTAAAATAATAAATAAATACCGGTATAAGTTCTTGATGATGGCCTATAGGATTTATTTGTCAAACTCACGCATATATTTTCTACAATGTTTTGCATATAGTTTCGTTACGCGGTTATACCAAAAATCCTTGAATCGATGTTTATTTTTTTTAGAATAACACAGCTACAGTAATCAGGTGATTTCAGTTTTAATCGACTGTGCTATCATAAGGTACAATCTAATTCTGAAGCATAGACATACTTGGCTATCATTCTAGCCACACTCTCTACTCTGATAAATCTGTAAATAGGCTGTTATAGGTGTTGGTATTTTGAGGTTAAGTAGTTGAACAGTCGTATTCATTTACTGAAGGACTCTGACCTCAAGTTGTGCACTCACATGTGGGATTATTTAGAGTTCTTGTCTTGGTATTCATTTATAATATTTATTTTAGCATCCAGTGCTTGATTCTTGTTAAAATTGCACCCATGGAAAGGTTACACTGAAGGTAGTAGACATTGTAGATCGTTTAGCTCATCTAAGGGAAGGATTGAAATGAAATATTTCGTGGAATAATCTGCCAAGTTCTCATATATTCTTTAATTATTGTTTGCTGTTAACACTTACTCAAACCATCAATATATTGATTGCTTAGTGATTTATATTCAAGTTGATGAATTGCTGGCTAATTGAATATACAGAACTTTATACAAAACAGTTCATTGAGTTTCACTACAATTCGTTGACCTGGTACTACAAATGAATTCATAAAAATAACATTTAGACCATATTTATTATTAACTGCTAACAAACAATATCCGACTGTCTATATGCATCCATATTGGCAGAGGAAGATGAATTGGTA